TCTAGTGGTCTCATTTTATGCACTTGAGGTATACATATCGTTTTTCGATGTTTACAGATTTTTTTTCAATCGTGAGACTCAGTGATACGGTTGACGGAAGTTCCATGGGCCGTTGATGACGTAAGAGCGCCACGTCAAGATCGAACTATTCATCCGTCCACCTGTTAATCACCACGTCACTACCACTTAAACTGTTTTCAATACTGTAAGCCATTATAGGATTATTGAACTAGTATTGGTGAATATTGGCAGAAGTTGGCTGTACAAATGCACGAGTTTGCGAGTTCAATAAATCCTTTATTATATAGCTAAAACATCTCCCATCGATTTATATACATAATTTCAACTAAATAACTGAAATTAATAAGAATTTTCAGTATCGGTATTTAAATTAACGTCTGTCCTGCAAGTATTCAATATCGTATCATTTCAATGACCTTTCCTAGCGTTATGATCTGCTGATAGGGATATTATTGAGGCTAATTAATACGTACTAAATTATGAATTAATAAATTTAATTTTGCGTGAAAATAAACACTTCTTACCTAGAAGCCACTTTCTATCTTAAATCTGCCTCCGAGATGTTGACCAGACGACGTTTATTGTTTACAACGGGGCATTCGATATTGAACGCTCGTATTCGGAATGTTTCGAGCATATTCGTATACGTAATACAAATTCAGCGTTCAATAAAACGTCAAGATATTGAATGCTAAAATTCTCTAGATTTTTGGTAGTAATTTATTAGAGACTATTTATTGCTATATAATAACATTAATTATGACACTCACCCCAAAACTGAAAGAAACCGATCGCGCGATTTTGTTTTGCGAGTTCAAATTTTAGTACATTGGCGTTACTCTCGCTCGCGCACTCGTGCGTCGTTTACCTAATCTTTGGCATGTTAATCCCCGATCCCCAGTTCCAGCCAAATATAGTTAGAGTTTGTCAATATTTTTTCGCAAACATTCAAATTTACTTACTCTACTTGTCCATCTTTTTGTCTTTGAACATGTGTGGGACTGACTGGACGATAGGGTTCGAAATGTCCAAGCTTGATTTTTGTTGATGAATTAAGGCTGCCTTGTAGAAAGTAAGCTAAATAATATCCCTATTAAAAGGATAAATAAATTGATAAACTCTATGCAGAGGATATGACCAAAGCTGTGAAATTCGCCAGGGAGACATATGGGAAATAATGAGAATTTTCGATTTTCTGGGGTCTTGGGAGTACCTTCACATATGAGATTCAATAACTAATTAATGAATAAATCAATTAAGATTTTGGTTACATTTTATAGGATAGGAATACTGGAAAATTAAGATGAATAATAATATTATTTACCTCAAAAGTACGGCCTGTCAAACGTTGCAATATTCGACCTGTTCCATTTGTATTGTATTATTTTTTATTTGTATTTTATAATTTTCCATTTGTATTGTATTATTTTCATTTGTATTACTAAGTATATCATTTTCAATTGAATTGTATAATTTTTTTTTTTTACATTTTTCATATGAATAGGATATTTTAAAGTCAATAAATTTGAAGACATGGTCATAATTTCAACAAGTCATTAAATGGATGATTTAGACATTGACATTTTAGTATTTTAAGAACTTAAAGAAAATTCACATGGCTATTTTTTTTAAGTAACGATAAATTAAAAACAAGGTGTGTTTGTGAAACACTATGCGCCCGGCGACAACAAAGTTAAAAAAATATATTTTTAGCTTATAGGTAACAATCAAGGTCACAAGGTCATTGATCTTGGTGTCATTTGAAAGAACTTGATTAGTGAAGTATGCATACCAAATATGAAGTTTCTATCTCTCATGGTTCAAAAGTTATGCTGAAGGTTCAAAAAAGCTATTTTTAGCATATAGGACACAGTCAAGGTCACAAAGTCATTGACCTGGTGTCATGTGAAAGGGCTTAATTAGTTGTATAGGTATGTCAAATATTAAGTCTCTATCTTTCTTCGTTCAAAAGTTATGGCGAAGGTTAAAAAGTTTGCCGACAAAAAAGCTATATTTAGTGTATAGGTCACAGTCAAGGTCACAAGGTCATTGACCATGGTGTCATTTAAAAGAGCTTAATCAGTGATGTAGGCATACCAAATATGAAGTTTCTATCTTTTATGGTTCAAAAGTTATGGCGAAGGTTAAAGTTTGCAGAAAAAAACTATTTTTAGCATATAGGTCACAGTCAAGGTCACAAGGTCATTGACCTTGGTGTCATTTGAAAGAACTTTATTAGTGGAGTATGCACACCAAATATGAAGTCTCTTTCTTTCATGGTTCAAAAGTTATGGCGAAGGTTAAAGTTTGCAGACAAACAGATAAACAGCTAAACTGACAGACAGACAGGACAAAAACAATATACGCCTCGGATCTTTCGATCCGGGCGCATAACTATAGGCTTATTGAAAGCATAGACCTCTGCTTTTTCAATAAAAATGGAGGTCGGAAATTTTCCTTTTTTGGTTCTCAACAAAATTACTTTGTTAAAAATCACACTAATTCTACATACACATACGCTGAAGTTGATATTAAAAGGATGATGGATTACAAATTGACCCCATTCACGTGTTTTATGTAGTCTTCGGAGACCAGGTATTGCAACAAAACTGTTGAAATTCCGACGGGCACTAATTGTGCTTCTTATACTATGACATGTATTTATATTCTTATGAAACAGAATTCATTCTAAAACTTCTGCATAAGATGAAAACATTTACTGAGACCATCAACTCGACATTAAGATATATCGACAATTTATTATCAATTTAAAATAGTTACCTCCATTTATTTGTCGACACGATATATTCCAGTGAAGTTAAAATTAAAGATACCACAGAGACTGCCACATCTGTTTAACGTTTCAATGTCTTACTCACTAAAGTCGATAAGTGCCAACTAACAACTAAATTGTATGACAACAGAGATGACTTAATCTTTTCTATCGTCATTTTTCTTATTTGTGTAGTAATATCCCGCTATCACCAGCATATGGTGTTTACATTTCCCAACTAATGCGATACTCATGATCAAAAGCATGCTCCGTGAACGATGAAACATTTCGAGATAACGAACAGTATTCAATATCAAAAGTCCATAAAACAATAGAAAACAAAAGCAGAGAGAACACGGACATCCAAAACATCAGAGGTGGGATCAGGTACCATGGAGGAGTGAGTATCCCCTGCTGACCGGTCACATCCGCCGTGTGCTCCTTGTCATGATCGAGAAATAACGAAAAAATCCGTCGTAGATTCAATGTATAAATAATGGACTAACAATAAGTATGAAAAACGTATGTCAGTATATGACTATTTAGCTGTATATAATACTATTCGAAAATTATTATTTTACCTATACAGAACATCTATTTTTTGGTGTTTAAGATGAAACATTTGGCACAAAGTTCATAGCAGATAACTTGTTCTACTTCCCTCAAAATTTAGTGACATCCAACAAAGCACAAGGGTTACGTGGAATTGCAAGTCGAACTGGTCTTAGAATAAATATTGAAAAAAGAAAAAGATGAGACTTACAATGAAGCACATTGAAGTGGTAATATTTTCCGTTTGAATGGAACGTTTTGAGCTATCTTTAGAAGTTGATAGTCTTATGATGACCCACCCATTTCTTTAGAAAGGAAAAAATCGGAGAAATAGTTCAATAGAATACCTGTAGAACAGGTTCCATAAATAAAATAGCCAATCAAATTGACGGTCTACATTAACAGCGAAAAAGCACGTGTTCGACCGATACATGTGTTATAGACTTATAGCAACTCCAATAAGCATTATAAATTCGTAATTATTTACAAATTCGTCGTAAAACGAGTTTTACAAAAGCGGGACTCTCTTCCTCTCTCTTCTAACTTTAAAATCTCCATTTCAGTGAAACTCGTGTTGCTAGATGCAAAGAGTTGGGTGTTCAAAAGTATAATGACGAATATTTCTTTCTCGTTTCTAAAGATTTGGGCGTGTCATTATGTAACAATTGACATTCGATGAGAAACACCCAAACTTTCCATTCAAAAGAAAAATTTTACCACTTCAATGCGCTTCATTGTAAGTCTGATATAAGAGAGCGAGTCACGATTGATGACCAAGACCTGGAGGATGTAGAAACCTTTATTTACCTTGGAGGTGTAATGATAAGAAAGGGAGGATCTAACGAGGACATTACCAACAGACTTGGAAAAGCTAATTGTCAAATCAGAAGGCTCGGGAAAATCTGAATCTCATAAAAATCGTTTTCCATTCAAGCAAAAAAGTAAAGCTATTAAACAGCTTGGTCATGTCGATTTTTATATATGGTAGCGACACATGAAAAACAGAAAGTCACAAAACGAAGATTGAGACCTTCCATAACAGATGCCTGAGCAAAATTCCTGGAAGTAAGACAACCTGATAAAATATCGAATGAAGTACTCAATCCTAGATCAAAAACAACGAGCTGAAATGAACTAAAAAATATCGGGAAGTGGAATTGGATGGTCATGTACTTAGGATAGAGAACACCAGGATTAGTATCACTGACATGGCATCAAGAGATAAGGCAGAAAGTAGACCAGCCAACAACATGAAGAAGAAAACTGAACAAGAGCAGTTAGAAATGGGTTGGAAATGTGGGCAGAGACATGTGGAGGTAGTATAGTGTGGCCTTATTAACAATTTCAGAAGGGCATGAAGAGAATAGGTGAGGTGAGATAAAGAAATATCTCCTTATAGAAATATCAATATATATATATATAAACTTTTTTCAGTGCAAAATCATGCTTTACAGATAGATGCCAGGAACCATTGCCAACAATCTATTAAAATCATTTCACTTTATCCAGCATTTATTTGTTAAATTTGACTAAATTACCAGAGCGCCATGCAATAAATAATGAAGTTTAAGCAAATGTTAAACTGAAATTTATCTTAATTGTATTTGTGAAGTTAATGATGGTATTTTAGAAAATTATCCCTATGCAGATAACATTTTGTTAATTTGTCTATAATACACATTTTCTGTTTTAATGACTGCTGCAAATACGAGTATAATGACAGATTGAGTTTATATTAACAAATCATTTGAACATTGTTCAGTCAGGCCTCTGTTAGATCAGAAGTTTTAGGTCTACCATTGACACGATGTAAGTAATGATTCTTCGTTCTGCTGTGTCTTTAAGTTTTCTAAAATACATTTACAGTGTAAGATGATATTTTTTTTATCTGAATAATCTCGTGTAACACTCTAATAGAAAAGATCAGGATAATGACTGGAAAAATTGATTTGCACAATATTGGTATAGTCATTTTAATGTTTTTTTTAATTTCTTTTAACAGAAAATGGTCAGTACAACATTTTTCATTGGTCTCACGGTTACATTCATTTTTATCGGAAACTTTCACATAAATGATGCTTTTAAGTTGACTAAAGGTAGGAATAGACAAGAACCCGTCAATTTAATTCGGCGGGAAGGAAAAGAAACCCCAAGAACGTTTGAGGACCCTGCTTGTTTCTCCACTCTTAGTTCTGATGGGATAGCAATGGTAAATTATGGAATAAATCTCATCAACTCTTCAATAAAAGTATCTGGAAGGTTTTTTGAAGCACTTCAGGACCTATACCATACCGACAATAATACAATTAAAACTGTAATTTATGATAATCTCAGACAATACAACAAATATTCCGCAGAGAAATTCAAAGGAAATAAGGATTCTGATTTAGAGGCATCTGCCATTTCATTTTACACTTACATGATCTACAGTACTATAAACTCTTATTTACGAGAACACAAATGCGGGAAAATGAATCTGACTGAAGATGTCAAAAATCTGAGTCCGTACAGCGCTTATTTAATGGCTGTACTGATGTATTCTCCGTCCCTTACTAAAGAAACAAATACGACCTACAGAGAAGTTAGATTTGATGAGGATATCATTGACCAATATGAGATCGGAACTACCTTTCTTTGGACATCATTTACATCCTCATCCATGTTTGATTTGAATTTTTTTAAAAATGTGGAATTTGTTTTCAACAACTCTCGATCATCTCTGTGGAGTCCAAGACGCATTGAACAGTATTCATTCTACCCCGAAGAACAAGAAGCCTTGTATCCTCCTATGGCAATGTTCAAAATTACTGATAAAACGGTAACATGGGAATCTGTATATGTCTATGCTGATCTTGTAAACGAAAATTTTTGATATATAAAGGTAATGTTTGTTTATATTCAACCAAAAGAGATGAAAAAATACCTAATTTTATAAAGTGGTGTTAAGGTTCTTTAAAAATACATACTTTACTTACAATGTTTGGAACTTGTGTCCAATCCCTTTGACATGTAAATAGAGTATGTTCAAAACAAACAAAACCATTCACGATTGTATCTAGTAAAATATCCGATTGTGAAAAAAATGTCAGACTCTATGGTATCTTTTATTTCAAGTTTACTGGGATATATCGAGTCGACATATGAATGGAAGAAAATATTGTTATTTGATAAAGTCAAAGTTAAAGTCCAAAGCAAGTGAGTTCTTCTTTTCATGTATAAGGTTCTGAACAAATTCTCCTTCAAATGAGTACAAAAATAGGTCTGTTAGTAACGGGGCACTGTTGCTATTCATGGAAATTCCGATAAATTGTTGGAAAACCTGATTGGTTGAACTAAATGTGTATCACTCAAATGTAATCACAAAAGTTAGGGATGTTACTGAGAGAGACAAGGAGTTGGGATGGAAGTGGGGAAGAAGTTATCTCATGTAAAGGGATCTTTGTATTCTCCATATACTAGATATTAACATGAAAGCATGCAAAACTTTTTTGCTTGAAATATTAGCATGCTTGAAAGTAAAAGAAAAACAGGGTAGAATTACAAGTATATACGAAACGTTTTTAACAGCATGGCCAAAAGCACAGACACTTGAGGTTACTTATTTCTCTTCTAATAAAAAAATATATATCCCTACCTAATAATTATGTAGGCTTTATTTTTTATTAAAAGAAAAGTGCTTTGTTAGCACATCTTGTAATATTACTTGAAACACTTCAGCTAATCACATATCGTTTTTCGATGTTTACAGACGATATAGATTTCTTGCAATCATAAGACGGTTGGCGGAGGTTCCATGGGACATAGATATAAATATTGTATTGTCTATGCATATTCAACGGCGAAAAATATGGAATGGCAAATTAAAATAAATTCAAATATTTGTACATGTCTTCAAATAATTGCACCTATCTTCACATAATTGTGCCTATCTTCAATCCATTTGAAGATAGGTACAATTGAATTAAAGACAGGTTCAAGTGAATTGAAGATATGTGTAAATAATTATACATATCTCTAAATACTAGTAATTATACCTAGGTAACAATAAATTATACCTACCTTCAATTCAATTAAAGATAGGTTTAACAGAATTATACCTATCTTTAATTCATTCGAAGATAGGTATAATTGAAAGATAGGTACAATTGATTTAAAGATAGGTACAATTGATTTGAAAATATGTTCAATTGATTTGAAGATATGTTCAATTAAGACATATCCACAAAGGATATGAAGATAGTTACAATTCAATTATACTTAAGTTCAATTCGTTTTGTGTTGTGGAAAATAATGAACGCTCCTTTGAAGACAATATTGAACATGGAGGGAAACACACAGAATCTACAGAGCAACGACAACGAGGATGAAAGGAGAAATAAAAGTAAATTCAAAATGTGTAAAAAGCATCAGTTACTTAAAACACACATGTATATCAATAAGTGAGCGAAAACATATACCAGAAATGACGTATGATAAAGGGAGTAGTTAATATTGCCAATATCTTCGCAATTAAAGAAAACACATGGGTCCGGGAATCGAACCCAGGACCCCTGCATTACTAGTCAGGTGCTCCAGCCACTGAGCTATCCAAACCGATACCCACGGTCCGTAAAGCTCGAACTTGTACATAAGTAAGAAAACAATAATAAAAGGCACACAATTCCTTGGCAAATAGTCAATCCTTTATGACCCCCTCCCCCTTAACGGAACGTAAGCTGTTAGATGAGAGGACCTATAAGTTAAAACAGATTCTGTAACATTATAGAAATTTTCACTCAGCTTCTGGTCGCTTGTATCCTAAACTGACAAATGTATTTTTACAGAAAACTTTTGATCATTTTTTTCAACCAGAAAAGTGTTAAATTTTGAATTGCTCGATTTTTAATCAACCTCTACAAAAGAATTTGCAAACACCAATATAAATCTGTGCTTCTACGGTAATGGTAAAACAATGTATCCTATTCTAGTTTATAATGATTTTTTTTTTATTAAATTGAAAATGCAGAAGTAATTTATTGCTGGGAAGATGAAGCTGACAGACCGCTTTATACTTCGGGGATGAATTAAGAACTGCATGACGGAGAAGTGGCTATGCATTATGTTCAACCAGCACGCGGTGAAATTACCCATGGAATGGACACCCATCAACAAGAGAATAATGACAGCAAGATTCTATACAAGATACAGAAAAGTGTCGGTGCTGCAAGTATATGCGCCACACAATGAAAAGGAAGAGTAGGAAAAGGACCAATTCTATCTTGAGCTCTAGGAGACCTTGGATGGATGTAACTAGAACGACATCTCATTATCATAGGAAACCTCAACACCAAGGTAGGAAGTGACAATAATAGATTCGAAAGAACTGTGGGTATACATGGACTGGGAAACACAAAAAGAGAACAGAGAAGGGATGTGTGAACTCTGTAAGACCAAGGGACGTGTAATCACAGGAACATTGTTCCCTCATAAAGACATACATAAAGCAACATTGATGTCTGCTGATGGAACAGCGGGAAACTCGATTGACCACTTTCTCATTAATGGTCATTGGAGATCAACTGCTCTTGATACCAAGGTCCAGAAGGGAGCTAATGCCAACAGCAACCACTACGTGGTGAAAACCAGAATCAGGCTATATGCCTAAGCACACATAAGATTAAGTTGAAACCAAGACTGGATGTAGAGTGCCTCAGATATAAAGAAGTAAAAACAAAGTTCGATAAATGCGCGAGAAAGAAATTAGGAGAACACATAGAAAAGACTTTAGATATGGAGAAAACGTGGGAGAAACAGAAGATGACATAAGTGAATTCATCAGAGGAAAAAATCTTTGTTCCTTGTTCCTCCAAGTGATAGAATGGGTGATGCAACAGTTGTTCAGAGAAAAGAGAATTGGAATAAGATAAGACATCTCCTATTTGCTTGAAAACCTTGACTTTGCAAACGACATTGCCCTACTGTCATCAGCAATGAGCCATATCCAGTCCAATACAAGAAAACTAGAAAAAAAAGGCTGAAATGAAGCTGAATGCCAAGAAGTGCAAAGTGTTGAAGATAAACAGCAAGACTGAAGCCAGCCTGAAAGTCAGAAACAGTGAAGTCGGCGAGGTTGACAGCTTCACATACCTCGGCGCCAATGTTACCAAGGGTGGAGGAGGTACTGCTGACATCAGGAAGGGGATTGCACTAGCGCATTCTTTAGGAGGCTAGCCAACATCTGGAACCCTACAGACATTTAGTAAAAAGATAAAAAGTCTCCCACATCAAGAACCTGGTCTTCTCTGTATTGTTACACTGATGTGAGACTTGGAAGCTCACCAAAACAGAAGAAAGAAAGTTGATATCTTTCTGACCAAGTGCTTCAGAAGGATTCTTTAGGTCAGATGGCAACAGCATATCTTAAACAAAACATTTCTGGAGATGGCAGAAAGCATCAGTAGCGAGATGAGGAGATAGATATTGAATCGACCAAATGCTTTGAAAAGATAAAACAGATGACTGTGTTGTGACCCTTCTATGGTCACCTGAGGGGAGAATGAAGCAAGGCCGCCCCAAGACATCATGGCGACGGATGGTGGAGCTAGCGAATTAATGCAGACTGAAACTCTTGGAACACGGCAAGACGTGCAGCCTCAGACAGGCACCGGTGGAAGAAAGATGTTCAGACCTTGTGTGCCTCCTGGCACGGAAAGAATTCAGGTTAAGGTTTATTCTCAAAAAATGAAATATTTACGCATCAGTAAAACTGCATTTCTTTCGCAATTTTGACAATATATTACTTTATACTATTGTAATAAATTTAAACAACATACTCCTTAAACAAGTTTTTAGAGTGAAAATTAGTATCACTTGACAGTGCGTTGGCAATTTTGTCTAATGCATTCAGACATATCCCACTAAACTTGATATAGAAGATATAACAAGGCTCCCACATCTGTTTCATATTTGGATGTGCTATTGACAAGAGACGATAAAGGCTAAATAAAGCAATTTAATTGTATGACAAGCCAGATCACCTCAGCTTTTCCATCGTCAACGTTCCTTATTTATGTACAATGCAGTAATATTCCAGCAGCTTTCCTTATTAATGTACAATAGTAATATTCCACTTTCATCTGCTAATGGTGTTCATGTCTCCCAACTTATTCGCTACTCAAGAGATTGCTCTGAGTACCATCTGAGAACTAGTATCAATTAATGACTCGTGGTTCAATGATTAGTTTCGGATTAAACCTATGTGTTTGATTGCATTTGTTATGTATGCAAGTCTGCTCTCCGCTGCATACATTATAGAAAATACTAAATTTAGCCCACTGTGTGAATTCTTTTTCGTCTTTTACATATCTGTTTACCTTCTATAAGTGAAAAATATTAGGACACCACCAATTGTTGGTGGAAAATGCAGATTTAGACCCTGTGTTCGGCTCAGTGCATTTAAGGTCTATGGGCAGTATGCGAGAATAGAAGGCTAGCATGTACTGCAACATGACGTACTAGTATGTTTATACAGACTAATAAAAGGACTGGACTTCAGGTTCGACAATGGATTCAAACAAACGACAGTAGGAAAACATTATTATTCCGCTAGTCCAACCACTGCCATGCAGGCTAGGTTTGATACATTTATTTATGAATTTCTATTGAAACAAGTAACCAAAGAGGGCATGAGAAATCGGCAAAATATCATTCACAATGATTTAACACTGATAGGTATTTAGTGCATATAGAAACATTTGAAACATTGTATTTAGGGTATAGGTAATTGTTTTCACCTTATCTAGGAAATATAACATTCGGATATAATCTATATACGAATTGCGAGTATAAACCTATTTAAAACATCTCTGATGTGCTATTAAGTTATGAAACTCTTGCGGGAAATAAAGACAATCACAACAATAAAACCATTGATTTATTTAACAGTTCACCTACAATTGTAAATTTAAACAGCGGGACTCAAAACACAGGTACAATGAATAGTTTTAACCAACTGGCTTTGCCTTAGGTTTGCCGATTCCATGTGATCCAATGCCACCAATTCCACCAAGACCCCCAGGTCCACCGGCAGGGCCACCATGTCCGCCAGCGAAGCCCCCAGGTCCACCAGCAAGGCCTCCTAATCCGCCACTAAGACCTCCAGGTCCACCGGCATGGCCTCCTAATCTGCCACCAAGACCCCCAGGTCCACCGGCAAGGCCTCCAAGTCCACCACCAAGACCTCCGGGTCCACCGGCAAGGCCTCTTATTCCGCCACCTAGACCCCCAGGTCCACCGGCAGGGCCACCATGTCCGCCAGCGAAGCCCCCAGGTCCACCAGCAAGGCCTCCTAATCCGCCACCTAGACCCCCCGGTCCACCAGCAAGGCCTCCTAATCCGCCACTAAGACCTCCAGGTCCACCGGCAAGGCCTCCAAGTCCACCACCAAGACCCCCAGGTCCACCGGCAAGGCCTCCCAATCCGCCACCTAGACCCCCAGGTCCACCGGTAAGGCCTCTTATTCCGCCACCTAGACCCCCAGGTCCACCAGCAAGGCCTCCAAGTCCACCAGGTCCGCCTGCGGTCTTTCCTCTACCGCCTAATCCACCAAAACTTCCAGCCCCCGAAGATCCAAGTGTTTGAGCAAAACCAATGGAGGAGCCTCCTTGAGATCCTCCTAATAAACCTTGGCCTAGAGATTGACCAGCACCACCAGAAAGTCCAGCTAAGCCGTCAAATCCCCCACTTGATCCACTACCAAGTCCTCCTATTCCTCCACCAAGTGGACCACCCTGAAGACCAGAGATGGAATCAGCACCAAATCCCGCATGGAATCTATTTCCAAGATCTGAGATATCTCCAGCTCCACTTCCTGCACCAATACCTCCTCCGAGAAGCCCAGAAAGACCAGATTCTAAACCTCCTTGACCACCAGCTCCTCCGAATAAGTTTTGCAAGAAACCTGCTCCACCAGAGCCTCCTTGATTTTCAAGAAATCCCGAGCCTCCAAGGAGACTCCCTAAACCATCTTGTCCCCCTAATGATGACCCAAAGCCACCTCCAAAGCTGTCTGTCAAACTTCCAGAAACCAGAGAAGAACCACTGTGAGTCTTGCTGTGCACAGCACTGGCTCTACCTGGGCTTCCACCCGGGAACCCTCCTTGACCAGTAAATAAACCACCTGGTCCTCCTATGCCGGGACCACCTAGACCACCTGGGAAAGGGCCTGCACCTCTGGGGAATGATGATGATCGACTTTGGAATGATGATGCACCAGCAGCAAAAGAACCACCTTGTAGTCCAGCGGCACCACCGCCAGGAATTGGTCCTCCGCTAAAACCGCCTGGTAAACCACCTTGTCCTATGCCTCCAACTAAACCACCACGCCCTATACCACCACCCTGTTGGTTGAAGGACTGAAACTGTCGAAAGAGGTCTGCTCCTCCTTGATTAGGTCCTCCAATACCGCCTGGACCACCTGCTTAAACCAGAGAATGAAAGCTTGAAAAATAGTCTCATTATATGGATGATTATATTTTAGATTCTATGAAATGCATCTTGTCGTGTTAGATTTTATTATATATGAAGTTACCTTGGTGTCCACCTAGAAGGCCATGTAAAAGTCCGCCAGATTTACCTCTTCCTAATGCCTGGGTGGAAAACAATAGGACTGTGCACAACACAATAAGTCCGTTCATTCTGCAGAAAGAAGCACCTAGCTAAAGTAAGGTATCAATTGTTTATACAGAACCGTTTTCTTTCAAAGTGAGTTGGATTGCTTGAAATTCATGCAATTGATATTCGATTTAGTTTTTCTTAGCTCTATAGCATTTAGCTTTGAAGATTTTTTTTACATACATAGCTGACGAAAACATATTGTTCTCTTTAAGTTTTACACCCTCTCCTTTCCAACACCGACTAAAATCCTAAAACCTAGTCTATATTACACCTAACTAAAATATCATATAAATTTTTAACTTCGATAAGTTTAAAAAAAAAAAAAAAGTGAATTATATGTAGAATAATATAGCGTGAAATCATGTCATAAATATTGATTATTTCTTCTTAATAAGACGAAAATCAAAGAAATTTGAATATTTAAATATTTCTTTTGCTTTTTTAAATTGATATGCAAATAACAGAATTCAACTTTTTGAAGTTTTATTAAGTGAATTAGTTGTAACAAATATATACCTTACTGAATTATATAAATTAATTGAGCTTTCAAGGTATAATAAATGTTTAATATAAACTTGAAAAAGTTGTCCGTTGTTGAAAGGACAAAATGAAGTGAAAAAATAAATCAAATGATTTATAAAAAATATCGATTTTCTGTGCTCATGTTGTGGCCTTACCTGAATTGTGTCTAAATTCCAAATGACCGTTTAAAACAGTGGTCTTGAAAAATTCAATTTCTAACTCTTATACCGGGAAGCAATTGAGAAAGACACGTCATCGTGGAGTCAGCAGACGATTGAATGCCATCAATCAACATGCGGCTCATCTTTGTAATGTTGTCCGTACAACTTGTATACAAGAATCTAGTTCCAAAATATTTTGATTAAACTAAGAAACTACATCAATTTTTATGTAATTATTCAGTGCAATGTCTTTACAAATTGATAGTTTTAAAACACCACTTTGTGCATATCATACAGTCATTTTTAGGCTTATATATCTATGCACTTAGAAATACGCGAATGTAAAGGTAATTTTAGAATATATGAAAAAGAAATTGACTTTTTATAAAAATCTTGTATTAAGTGATTTTCCGAGAAATATCTGTCTTAATATCTGTTGGTACAGCTTTGTTAAAATTGTTTTGACAATAAAATAGTCTGAAGAAAATGGGCATATTTCAACTTCTGCATGAATATATAATTCGAATTCAGTAATATATTTGAAAAAAAAGAAGACTTTTTTCAACTGTGACTGACAATGGCAATAACAAATACTGAAGAGAGAATATTTATCGAGAAAAATTCTTTTTAAAAATACATATACTTTTACAAAATACACTTAAGTACATCCGAACTTTTAGTGAAAGTCATCATTCAGAAACAAAATATGTTTATCAATGAAGGGCAAGTTGGACTTAATTCAAGAGCCTATGGAAAGTTGCTTCCCTGTTTATTTTGTCCAAATGTCAAGACATAAAACCGGAAGTACAATACAAATGGCGGATTTTATACGGGTCTTGACGTCTTTATACATATCATGCTTTCAATAACAGCCTTTCAGAGATCATTCACGTCCAACTTGCTCTTCATTGATAAACATATATTATTTCTACAATGATGGTTTTCACTAAAAGTAAAGCATTAAACAGTTGCATTTAAAAACAAGAGGCCCATGGACCACATCGCTCACCTGAGTAACTTGGGTGATGCAGTTCTTTACCAGATTTCCTCTCTTGCTATACCTATCGTGCCCCCGTACCCCCTTCCTTTTCATGATTTTAACACTTAAGAATCTACACTACCACATGCAGGATTCTTCCACATAAGTTTCAGCTTTACTGGCCCAGTGGTTTTTGAGAAGAAGATTCTTAAATGATTTTTCCTAAATAAAACTTGGATTCCCTATTATGGCCCCGCCCTAACCCCGGAGGTCTTGATTTTTACAATTTAATATCTACACTACCCAAGGATGCTTCCACATAAGTTTCAGCTTTCCTGGCTTTTAATGAGAATATTTAAAGATTTGTTCTATACACTATGTAAAACTACCTATTGTGACAAAGGATTAATTCCACATAAGACTTCCACATAAGTTTCAGCTTTCCTGGCCCAGTGGTCCTTGAGAAGAGGATATTTAAAGATTTGTTTTATACATTTCTATGTAAAACTTGGATTCCCTACTGTGACCCGCCCTACCCCCGGGGGTCATGATTTTAACAATTTAATATCTACACTACCCAAGGATGCTTCCATATGAGTTTCAGCTTTTGAGGCCCAGTGGTTCTTGAGAAGAAGATTTTTAAAGATTTGTTCTATATATTTCTATGTAAACTTGGATTTCCTATTGTGGCCCCGCCCTACCCCTGGGGGTCAAGATTTTTTATAATTTAATATCTACACTACCCAAGGATGCTTCCACATAAGTTTCAGCTTTCCTGGCCCAGTAGTTCTTGAGAAGAAGATTTTTCAAGATTTGTTCTATACCTTTCCATGTAAAACTTGAATTCCCTATTATGTCCCCACCCTACACCTGAGGGTCATGATTTGAACAATTTAGAATCTACACTACCCAAGGATGCTTTCACATAAGTTTCAGCTTTCCTGGCCCAGTGGTTCTTGAGAAGAAGATTTTTTAATTACCCCACACTATTTTTGTCTTTTCTTGATTATCTCCCCTTGTAAGGGGCCTTGGCCCTTTATATTAACAATTTAAACTCCTCTTCACCCAAGGATGCTTTGTACTAAGTTTGGTTAAAATTGGTCTATTGGTTCTTGAGAAGAAGTCGAAAATGTGAAAAGTTTACGGACGGACAGACAGACAGCTAGACGGACGGACGGACAAAATGTGATCAGAAAAGCTCACTTGAGCCTTCGGCTCAGGTGAGCTAAAAATATGCAAAATATTTGATATATTTTACCTCAAGATATATATTTTTAAAAACATTTGTTTTCAAATGATACTTTCTATCTGTTAATCAATGATCCATTTATACACTCGAAAAGTTTTAACATTATACCTCACATAGTTTTGGAGCTATTGTAAAAATAAATTTTTGAACATCTTGACCTTTGGCAAAACCTTAATGTCTTTTTACCATTGAAGGAATCTTTAACCTACGTGTGCATATTATGCACAGCATTAAAATTTTCTGATGTTAAAAGATATATATACAGTCAATCTCTACCTCTGTCAACGTCTAAAAAATAGTACGGAAGCGGAGGGACGTGATTTTTTTTTTCAATGTTGTTTAAAATGGCCCACAAGAAGATTAACACCTGTATATTTCTATGTACATGTATGTGTCCATGCTGCAAGTTGTTTTTCAATAAAAACTTTTATCGGCAATGCTTTTTCCACCTACGTAATATTCTGCCGAGAAATAACCCCTTATAAGAGATGGTGAAAAAGCGATATCTGATTGCAATTCTCGTAAATAAACTTTCATTTAACATGTTCAGCAAGAATATAAAGGTTTTACATTATAATTTATGATGCAATAGGTAAAAGTAAGTTTTCACAATAAAGAAAAAATGTGTATCATTAACTTCCATGTACATATACGTCTTTTTATGGGGAGGGGGGAATTCTTTCGGTACCATTTTTTTTTCTCATACACTACTTTATTACTAGTATTTGACTGCATGTTTTCTGTGCATTTGCTTTTATTCTTTCTGTACTACTTGTGTGGATGATTGAGCTGCTACGTTTATGTAGTGTTATTACATATCAAGGTGTTTAACTCAAGAGCATATTCTATATGTACAATTATTCTAGACAGAATACAAATACACTAAATAAGCTGAATACACAAAGATATCAAAACCTTTGTTTGCAAGTACAATCTTTCTTTCTGTCCGATTTGACCGACATATTTCATACAGTGTATTGTTATTATTTTCACACATTTATGGCACGCCAAATTCACAATCAAAGTAATCAGAGATTACAGAGCTCACCTCAACGAATGTTGTCTTTAAGTAGGGCAAAGTCACACAATTACCCAACCAAAAGTTTCCAAAATGCAAAATTTATACGTTTAATATTGTATTAAAAGATTATAAAAAAAGAATACGAAAATTTAAAATTCTGAAGAAAAAAATCATCCCTTGATGCATCATATGGGCAAGTATAAATGATAAAACCTGACAGTTTCTTGGTGATAGACCTCCTAATACTTTTACCTGGTCCATTTTGGAAAATTATCAGAATTAGCATCTGGCAAGTCCTTAACATTGAAAATAAAAAACAGGCCACTTTGAAAAAAATTTCAAAGTGCTTTTCTTCGTATGTGTAGAGAACTAAGACACATGAAAAAAATAATTTTTTTTTCAAAACTCCTTACACCAATGAACTATGTTCTTTGAAAAAAATTAAAGATTGAAATTTTACAAATAATCGGTATGATAAATAATTTATTCTGGTTGGATAACTTTTTTTATGATAAGGTCACTTCAGAACCTGAGATATTGACGTTTTAAATATTTGAGGTTTTGATAAAATAAAAGGGAAATGGGTCTTGAAAAAAAAGAGTGACGATTGTTTAAGATCATTAATTCGTTTTTTTTTTATTCTAGTCTTTGATAAGTAGATGTAAAGGTGTTAAGAGGGCACTGACAGTGGACAGCTTTAAACAATTTAGCATTTATCATAATAAAAATGGGGCAATATGATTGTTCAAAACTATGAAAATTCTTTCTCTCTCATACGTTTTACTGTACTTAAAATTTCTAGTTTTCATCTGTTTTAATCAACTCATTTAATATTGAAAGTTTTCAACGTTATACCAGTTATGTAAATACATAATTATATGAATGTTTTGAGTATAGCATAAACATCGAGACCGGGTGAATATTTAACTAAGTCCCCCACTTATTTTGGATAGATATATACATCGTATAAGCATTGAAAATGCAGCTTACCCATTTAAGTTTATCTGTTTGTTACCGAACCTATGTATTGGAAAGATAGATTTTGTTGGATATAACCGTATTCTTCTCTTCTGTAAATTATCAATTCTTTTTTGAGGTTAGGGTTAGGGTTAGTTTTTTGAAAGATAAATAACAAATAAGATATTTCCATTACTAAAACATGCATATGATTTTTTTTCAAAGTGCGTTAAGTGCGTCCATGGTAAAATATATTGATGTAGTCGACTCTTAACGCACATTGAAAAAATTTTTCAAAGTGCGTGTTAAGTAATTTAACGCACTTGAAACAAAATTTTCGCGTTAACGTTGATTTTGTTAAATTTTAACGCACTTTGAAAATTTTTTTCAAAAAAATTTTTTCAAATCATTGCCACAATCATAAACTAGGTTTATCGGTTTGTAGGACTAATAGTTTTAGAAATGAAACCTGCATAAAAATTTAACCTCTTACTCATCCAGAAAAAAATGTACATGTAGGTCATTTCACATCTGTAAGCCATAGTGCAACGCGATAATCTATGCAAGTTTGGTCATTAAAGAGTTCATAGTTACTTGAAAATGAATCCTATAATTATCAAAAACTTTAACCTGTTTCATACAGAAAATGTAGGTCAGATTCAGCATCCGAAGCAAGTCTGCTAGTATGCATCCTAAGATGTATCATCCATGCAAGTTTAGTCATTTTACGGCTCATAGTAACTTGGAATGAACCCTGCACCAAAAACTTTAACCTGCTCAACCAGAAAATGTACTCAGATTCAGCATAAATATAGTTAACATCCTTAGATGTATCATCCATGCAAGTTTGGTCAACATCTTAACTATAGTTACTTGGAAATGAGA